CCCGAGTATTGCATTCTTTAACAAAAATCAAACAGTAAATTAGTGCAACATTGTGACAACGTTGTTGTCATGTGACCTCAGTGTTTATCCCCGAACAATAAAAATGGTCATTTTGGTGTGTAAAAATGTCCAGTCTAGAAAGTTAAAAATCACTGTTGATTTTCCATTTCATCATACTGGAAACTATACTGGAAGGTCAGTTCAACTGCATTGCATGGAGATATGTTAAGTGATGCTGTGGACTTTACCAAATATAATATACCCATCATCTTCTCTTTAGATGTGCAGTATGTGAAGAACATTTTTAGTTGGCGATTTGCCTTGTTTTTGATTTCTGAAATGTCTTTATCTACAGCCTAAAGTCATTGATTCAGCCTTGAAGTTATAGCAAAACCCATCAGCCACAAGACAAGATATGTTTGCACATCACACAAATGTACACCACTGTTCAAAGGTTTAGGGTTGATTTATTAATGCTTTTGAAAGACGTCTTTCTGGTGCTCGAGAAACAATTCTTAATATTATTAATGTTGAAAACCGTAAACCGTGATGGTCTAATATATGTTTTTCAGGATTCTTTTCATGACTAGAAAGATCAAAAGAACAGCATTTATTTGAAATAGATTTTTTTTTTAGCATTATAAGTATCTTTATTGTCACTGTTGATGAATTTACTGCATCCTTAGTGAATAAATGCAGTAATTTAAAGAAAAGAAAAGAAGACCCCCAACTTCTGAATAGTAGTGTAGCATCTAATAAAGTGGCCCAGAATGAAACCTTAACATAACCTTTTTCTTTTTTGCAATTGCTTTGCTGTCTATCATCCTTCAATCCATCCTTTTGCTCTTAGATTCAAAAGGACTGTCTAATCCATCAGAGGTGGAGGCATTAAGGGAAAGAGTGTATGCATCTCTAGAGGCCTACTGTAAACACAAATATCCCGATCAGCCTGGAAGGTACACACACACACACACTTATTTTTCATCTCACACGTGCTTATGTATCTTTCATTATTTCACTTGCATATAAAAATGAAAGTGCACAAAACAAAATGAATGCTACAGAGATTTAACAGAGGTCTATCTGGATTCACAGTGAACATGAGATAGTTTTCAATTTCATTTAAAGTCAGCAACATTTACAACCCATTTTCGTGCATATAGTAAAAGTCAGTTTTACCTACAGTAAATACATGCTTATTAGATCTCTTTTACACTACCATTCAGAGACTTTTTAAAGTGCTCATTAAAGCTGCATTTATTTAATTACAGAAAAAACAGTAATTGTGAAATATTATAATTTAAGATAACTATTTTCTAATTGAATATATTTTAAAATATAATTTATTCTTGTGATTGCGAAGCTTAATTTTCAGCATCCATTACACCAGTCGATCCCAGCGTCACATGATCCTTTAGAAATCATTCTGATATGCTGATTTGCTGCTCAAATAACATTTTGTGGAAACTTTGATACATTTTTCCAGGATTCTTTGATTAGCATAAAGTTCAAAAGAACAGTATTTATTTGAAACAGAACTGTACTGTACTGACACTTTTGATCAATATCATGTTTCCTTGCTGAATACAAGTTTTAATTTCTTTAAAAAAAAAAAACTTACTGACCTCAAACTTTATTATTATTAAAACAAAACTGCTGCAGTATTACACTGTGCTCATCCAAACACTGACACCCATTGTTTCACGGACAGATTTGCCAAGCTTTTACTGCGTCTGCCTGCCCTGCGCTCCATCGGCCTGAAGTGTCTTGAACATCTCTTCTTTTTCAAGTTAATCGGAGACACACCCATCGACACTTTCCTAATGGAAATGCTCGAAGCGCCACACCAAATGACATAAGGGAATGATTTCTTTTCATCTCCGCCCCTCTGACAGAGGGTGCAGCTCATGTACAGGACACTACAGGAGGCCACAGGACACATCTCTGATCTCACAGGAGAAGACTGAACTCAAGAGTAATTCATCAGAAACATTGCGCAATGCACAAAATACTGTGTAACCGTTCATTACGGAATAGCACGCAGGATGGATTAAGTGAGGTTTTTCCTGGTTTGCATGCATGTTCGGGAAGTCTCACGGAGTTCTGGAGTTTTTGGTTTCTCATTTCTTCTGCCTTACAGAGGTCTACCTCTGCTTTTGTACACAGCCAAACCGCCTCATCTCTGAACCCACAATCATTTTGCTGTGAATTTTCAGATTTCATGAGAGGAAACAAAATACCTCGGATGCACTTCTTCATGCAGCTGTCCTTAAAAAACACATTACTGTATCCGCCATTGGAACAGTGAACAGGACCACAGTAACAATTTTTTTCCCCCCAGGCACTTAGAAATTCTTTAAGCGGTATTGCCATACGTCAGGATTCTTAAAGTCCATCTTCATGAGGAAGAAACTGCACGCAGTTTGGCTTCAAGTCCTTTTCTTTTTGGAAGATATATGGGCCTATGAATAACAGAATGGTCTAAAAAGAATGAAAAGCAGGTGTACTCCTGGCTGAACTCGCGCTGGATGAAAATACGATTCATTGTTAGAATTGTGTAAAAAAAAAAATTATTGGAGATTTTTCATGATGTTTTGCCTCTATAATTCAGCATAAATATGTATTAAGTATTTCCAAAGATTTTGTACAAAGTATAATTTTTTTCTCTACGTCATTATTTAGTCAGTTCTATATTGTACACATTGTTGGTGTAAATATTCATTTTGAAGTGGAGCCGTGCCCTCAAACCTGGATTGAGGGAAGGGTTTATGTGCAAAGGCTTCTCAGTTCCTCTGCCATTGGTTTTCATGGTACCCTCACCTGAGAGCTGAGGACAGCTCACAGTTGTTATTTTTTTTTTTTTACAAGACAAATGGAGGGTGTATTGTGTATTGTCCTACTATATTATGTCTGTTCAAAGGACTATTAAATTTCAGATTGTAAAAAAGACTGTTATATTATCTTCAGCAAACAAAATAACTATTTGAGAGTTATGAATAAATGGTGTTATACATGATATCAGATGCACACACATATATACATATATATATATATATATATAAGATTAACATTTTCATAAAGCAGAATATTGCTGCAATAACATTTATATAGATTTTTATATTCCAATATATATATATATATATATATATATATACACAGTGTTAAAACTATGAATAATAATAATGAATATTATGCATCATGAAACAATTGCTAAGAGCTTTGAAAGAAAGTCGAGTCCTTCATTTTTATTATTACAGTAACCCTTGTTTAAAAGTACTGAAGCACTTGAGGTTGTATTAATTATTAAGTATTGGACATTTATGTGACAATGGTTACATTTGTGAAAAGCATCTAGTTCTCTTTTTAAAAATCAATGTAATTTACTTTTTCTTTGTGACTTAAATCACAAAAAATGTGTCACGAAAGACATCATGATTGTGGTACATGATTGTTTTGCTTCAAATTAATTAGCAATTGTCTGCAACTTTTCTGCATTTTTACAGGCCATTTCATGACAGACACAGATGTCACATTAAAAAAAAAAAGTAAAATCCAACTTAGAGGAAAAAAGACTATATATATACAACCAAAAAAATCCAGAAAAAAACACATTATATAAAGGTTAGAAATTGATTTGCATTTCAGTGAGAGAAATAAGTATTAGATCCCCTACCAAGCAGCAAGAATTCTGGCTCTCATAGATTGGTTATGTGACCATGTGTGCAGATTAGTCCTGTTACTTTAAGAAGTTACTCCTAATGTCAGCTCAATCTGTCCACACAATCTGTATCTTCCATTCCAACCTCTCCAACCACCATGGGCAAGACCAAAGAGCTGTCAAAGGATGTCAGAGACAAGACTGTAGATCTGCACAAGGCTGGAATGGGCTACAAGACCATCAGCAAGAAGCTTGGTGAGAAGGAGACAACTGTTGGTGCAATTATTCAGAATTGGAAGAAATACAAAACCATCAATCGGCCTCGGTCTGGAGCTCCGTGCATGATCTTGCCTCATGGGATAAGGATGATCATGAGAAAGGTGAGGGATCAGCCTTATTTTGTTCTATTTATTGATTACTTTTTGTTTGAATCTCTCAACATTTTACAACAGTAGCCAGGTGGTGAAGACGACAAAAGAAACTAAATTACGAAGTCACTTGCCACCGTGTCATTTGAACTTATTTATATGCAGATTAGAACCATTTTGTCGAACCGTAGTTACACGGGATTCGAACCGGAGCTTCTCGCCTCTCAAGTACGTCTCCGTACTCCATGAGCTAACGAACAAACCTACCGTTGATGAAAACCCATTCATATGAAACTGGATATGTGCAGTGCTAACGTTCAAAAGCATTAGTTTTCAAATCTCCCAGCATATTAAAATACGTCTGAGAGTGCAAGCGCCAGCTGCAGCCAGGCCCTTTTGAAACCTGGTGACCAACTACAAAAAGCATCTTACCTCTGTGCTTGCCAACAAGGGTTTCTGCACCAAGTACTAAGTCATGTTTTGCTTGGGGATCAAATACTTATTTCAATCACTGAAATACAAATCAATTTCTAACCTTTATATAATGTTTTTTTTTTCTGGATTTTTTTGGTTGGTATTCTGTCTCTATACGTTAAAATAAACCTACCATAACAATTACAGACCCTTTATTTCTTTGTAAGTGGGCAAACTTACAAAATCAGCAGGGGATCAAATAATATATATTAATTTTATGGAAATGTACCTACTACTCCAATGGATCAAAGCCATGAAGACTAATTCATGCCTTCAAATTCAAAGCTTAAATAGAGGAAAATAATGTTTAGAAAGGATTTAAGGATCCTAAGCACATTGGTAATTCACATATCAATAATCAATGATTGCAAAACACTTAAATGAAAAGCAAAAATGCAATCATTTGATGGCAAAAAAGACCTGAAAATTATCTTGCTTAAAAACATTTATATATCCATTTTTGGTATGTTTACCACCATTCAAAACAACTGAATCCATGATTTGATAGAAAACATTTGTTCTTTAGTAATAAATTAAAATGAACTGAAAACATTACAGTAGATTATTCGAGTATATAAAGGGGAAAAGGCTCGAGTGAGATTGTCGCTATTCTGAGCAGACAGGACCTGCCTATCTCTCAGATAATAACCCTGCACTAAGTGCTATCAAACCATTGTAAAAGACAGACACTACTGGAAGTCATCATTCTGAAGTTTCTACCAAAGCCTCTGAAGTGCAGTGCTTTAACTTAACAATCACTTTTCCACAGTTTGATGGTCTTGTCGTTCTCCAGGGCTGCAGAGGCAATGATGTTCTCTGTAGGGTGACAAGCTGTCGAGATCACTACATCTAAGGACAAAAATACATCATACTTATGTTAACAAAATCAAAGAGGCTGCCGTGTGTTTGAGTCTGGGAGGTGTAGCAAATGTCATATACCTGTGTGCCCTTGCAGTTTCTGAACAATTTCTTTGGTCTGCAAGTTCCAGATATACACCATGTTGTCTTCAGAGCCTGAGACGATCCACTGAATGAGAGCAAGACGGATTCAGGTTATTCAAAAACTGCTCTAAATAACTATATACCTATGTATTAAAATACTTCGACAAAGTCATACTGAACCTACCTTTCCTCCAGTCACAGAAAAATTGGCAAACACACAATACTTTTCATTCTTATGTCCAGCATATGTCTTGAGGCACTAAAAAAAAAAAAAAAAATTAAAAGCTACAATAGTTCAGTTAAAGCATGAACATTACCTACACACATTAACTTAACTTAATATTTCATAGACTTGTATTATGTTTATATACAGCTAATTATAAATACTTTAACATAACCCAACATTTTTTTTTGAAAGATTTGTTTCACTTCTGGGTACAAATTCATCCCCCAAAATATGGTTAAGTAGGTACACACATATTTTTTGAATATATTAGTGACAACATCTAATGAACTTTCATTGCTAGTGATATTTTTTATTTAATTATTTTTTAATTACAAACCTCAGTGCACAATTTGCCACACCACAAACTGTCAAACACATCTTACCAGCAAACATACACTCGTTTTCATCCTTCTCTCCACTCTCTGAGGCAGAAGTCTCTAAACTCATCCTTTCCAATCATCCTACTACTTGTCCGCTTGATCCTATTCCATCTCATCTCCTTCATGTGTGTGTGTGTGTGTATAATATATGTATGTATGTGTGTATATGTGTATGTATGTATGTGTATGTGTATATGTATATATGTGTTTATGTGTATGTATATGTATGTATATATATATATATATATGTGTGTATGTGTGTATATATATATGTATGTGTGTATATGACAGTAGTTATGAATGTTCTGCATTTCTGTTTTGAGCTGCGCGCGCTGAAGATGACCAGTAGAATGAAGCATTTGATAGCAGATTTTTAATTAATGGGATTAACTCCTCATTTATCTCATATATTATACGCTTCCTTATTTATACAACATAACGTTAATATTACGACGTATAGGCTATCTGCACAAAATGCCCCGAATGCACATGAACGTGTCTGCGCAGCTCTGCGTGAACTCATTTTGTGGACGTGTTCTTCATGCAACAACATGCAGAAACACGGCAACTAAACACTAAAAATTCACAGCGTTTTATTATAATAGTGTTCTCATAAAAATGTTTTGTGTTTGACAGTCCCAGTCATAGTTATTAATATTCTGCATTATTGTTTGTCCTGTTCGCGCTGCGCGCTGAAGAGATAATCACTGTAGTAGCCTACTACAATTAAGTGCTTCACTGCAGCGCAACTCAACCAAATGCATCTTATACGAGATAAATAATATATACACGATATAAACCAGCTGAAATGTTCTGAAATAACTTGTACCCTACCTGATCGAAAAAATCCAGTTTTACACTGACTGTCAATTTGAGTCTTGTTAAAGATTTAAATCCCTGCCGCCAAGATGCTCCTCTGTCGGTCACGGGTTATGGAAGTGAAACTTAAATCTATAGGGGTGGTTGGATTTATTCACGCACGTTAAAATGTTTATTTGAAGCTTCTTTCTTTTCAGATACTTATTTACAACCAGAGCTGGGTAGTAACTGATTACATGTAATCTGGATTATGTAATCAGATTCCAAAAATTAATAACTTGTAATTAGAGTGTTACTGAAATGTTTTTGTTGCAGGAGGCAAATGCAGAACACATAGTTTGCCTTTCAGGGCTATCCAGACATCCTCCACACAAAGAGTAAAGAAATACACCTTTAGAAATTTGAAAACACTGATGAAATTCAGTAGAGACTCTCTCATACTCCTCATCCGGGCCATCCATCCTTGTATTTATTTGATCCAGATTGCTTCTTTTCTGTTTCTGTTCCATTTTCTGTATGGAACAGCCTTCATTCTTAAAGCATTTCTATTAAAATGTGTTTTTGATGCCTTGTTTAAAACAACTATTGATTGTACAGTAACTTGTAAGAAATGCAAGTGTAAAGAAACTACAGTAAGCAGCACAAAGATTTCAACATTGATAATTAGAAATGTGTATTGAGCAGCAAATCAGCATATTAGAATGATTCTTGAGGAATAAGAATAAATTGTTTCTGTTGTTTTTCTTGTGTTTTTGTAGCTGATGCAAATGTGTGTAATGGTACATACTATACATTTGTCTGTCTCTTTCAGAGATGTCAGCGATCAGCTCCAGTCCAGATGATCCAGTGATCCGGATTCTTCTGATGGGCAGTAAGGGTTCTGGGAAAAGCTCATCTGGAAACACCATACTGGGAGAAAAGAAGTTTAAAGTGCACATACAGCAAAAAAAACATGAAGCTGAAAATAGGTTTGGTGAAGTGTGTGAAGGTAAAACACAGATGGGAGAGCAGCAGCTCGCTGTGATTGATTGTCCAGATCTAATGGATCCAAGTCTAAATAAAGAGAAGCTGGAGAAACTGAAAGAGGATCTGGTTGAACAGTGTTCAGCAGGTCTCAGTGCAGTTCTGCTCACTGTTCCTCTAGAGGAACCTGTGCAAAATGAGGAAGAGATCCTGGACTTCATTAAAGGTTTATTTGGTCTTGAAGTTCAGAAGTACATCATGATTCTGTTCACACATGAAGATGTTCTGGAAGAACTGGATGAATCACAGAGCATTGGTGAATATGTACAAAACAATGACAATGCGGGTCACCAGCAACTGGTGTCAGAATGTGGAGGAAAGTTTCACTGTTTCAATAACAAGTCTAAATCAAAACGTCAAGCACAAGAATTACTGCAGAAGATCGAAGGAATGATAGAGGACAATATGAGGAAATTTATTATGGCAAAAATGAAGAGGAGTGACATCAAATACAGTCCTGGTGTCAATTGTAAGATGATGATTAGGGGTTCAAGCACATAATGCTGAAACCCTATTGTAATTGTAAAGATTTTTAATATTATTATTCTGCCGTAAAACTGATCATGCAGACCAAACCGTAAGGCCTAGAGCAGGGGTGCCCAACCCTGGTCCTGGAGATCTACCTTCCTGCAGAGTTCAGTTCCAACCCTGATCAAACACACCTGTCTGTAATTATCAAGTGCTCCTTCAGACCCTAATTAGTTGGTTCAGGTGTGTTTGATCAGGGTTGGAGCTAAACTCTGCAGGAAGGTAGATCTCCCGGAACAGGGTTTGGCCTAGAGACTTGAAACCTGGGCAGATGATAGCTCTCAATTTGGGGAGAGGTTGACAGAGATTGACCCCAATTGGCCAATAGGGGGTGCTACAGCGATCAAAAATGCGAAAACTCTCATTACTCCTAGACCAGGGTTTTTTAAAAGTCTACATTCAAAGGTTAAAATCTGAATTTTTATCAATGTCAAAGGTCCGGACCGGAACAATTGGTTGTTACAAAACTTGTTTTTAATAAACATGCATAACAAATCAACACTCATTTTTAAAAATAAAAATAAAAACAAATAAAGTGCCTTTTGCATTCAAAATACATTAATAACAACTGCAAAAGTGGCAAAACAATTAATTTAAGTGTCAGCAAAAGAGGCTTTGTCAATTTAAGTGTCAGCAAAATAGCAGTTTCCACGGTAACGGCTGTAATCAAATAAGCACTGAGCTCACACATGCTACATTACAGGAAAGACGAAATGAAAATGACATCGAGCTTTTTGAAGAAACGCTGAAGTGAAGCTTTTTTCTGAAGAAAAGCCGGTCGGTTCTTTTCAAAGATACAGTCATATAAAAACACCTGCGCCACATTCTGATTTTGAAACGTGCAGTGCTCGTGTTTATTTAATGAAGTATAGCCTTGTGGAAAATCTATTTGTGCCGGTCAGTTTTGATATAGCAACGGGCCATCACAAATAAATCAATGTATGAGAAATACTGGACACTGCTACAAATGGCAATATCTGAATAATAACAAAAATTTAAAAATAACTTATATTACACAGCGGTGAAGTGTCGCCAGATTATCACTGGATGTCATGACAACAATGTCGTAGGAAAAGTTTGAATATCTTGTCGTCTTCGCTTTCATTTCGGACCATCTCCAAAAAGACATAAAAAAACCTAAACAAATGATTTACAAGTTTAACATGCGTTTATTAAAGTAGGAAATCCACACTTTTAATCCCTTACACACAATTAATGCTCTTGAAATACGAAATGGAGGCGGGTCCGGATTGAATTCCCTCCAGGTCTGGATCCGGACCGGAGTCCAGGCATTTGAGAAGTGCTGTCCTAGACCATGTGTCCAGTGCAGAAAGATTCGCTGGAGACTGAATAACAATAATTATCGAAAAAAGTTGAAATTTCCACTCACGGTTGCTAGGGGTCGCCAAAACATTTGAGGTGGGCAGAGCCACTTTTACTAAACTGTCTATAACCCAAGAACAAATTAAGATATTTTCACCAAACATGGAACATGTGTATGAACTCGATCTGAGTTCACAGTAAAAAAAAAAAAAGGAGGAAAAAAAAGTGCAGATTGGCCACTTGGTGGCGCTATAATAGGGAGAAAAAAAAAACTTAAAATGGTTATAACCACCAAACCGTTAGTCCAATCAACTTTAAAATCGGTACCCAGTGTCTTTGTCCAAGTTGCCATGACGGTCTATGAGGACATTGGCGTATCTCAAAAACATGGCCGCTATCGGCCAATGAAATTTGAGCACCTATTGTACAAGGTTAACGGAGGCCAATCAGAATGAAACAATCTATAAAAAAAAAACTAAACAATGCAGTCTTCTCTGGACTCTCTAAATCAGTGGTCACCACGATCTGCACGGGCAGTTGTTTTTGATTTGATTTAGATTAATTTCAGGATTTAAAACAAAAACAGAATGGTCTGACTTTAGGTGTTATTTATTTATTTGCTACATAAAACATATGCGCGAAACAACAGCAGGTCTGAATGAGACATGCTCTCTGACAGCAGGTGGCACTAATGAACAGGGTTGCCAGGTTTTCCCAATAAAACTAGTCCAATCGTGTTTCGAGTGGGGTTCCCCTGTAAAAATCGCATTTCAGGGGTAAAATCGCGATCGACGGGTTGGCGACCACTGCTCTAGATCAATCATTATCAAAAATGTTAAACTTTACCCTTTGGGCAGCTATAACAGGGCCTTTTAGAAAATGGCCGTTGTCAAATGTGTGCAAAAGCCTATAACTCATAAACAAAAAGTCAGAACTTCACGAACATAGGTGAAGATATGTGACACATAATTCTAAACAAGC